TAGTGTAGTGGTGAAGGCATCAGGCTAGAAAATGGGAGACAGTGAGTTCTAGTTCTACCTTAGGCAGGAAAGCTAGCTTGGTTACTTTGATCCTGTTCCCCTTCCCCCTTCCCCTCTCCCTCTCTCTTTCTCAGCCTATCTCACCTCACAGGGTTGTTATGGGGAAAATAGGAGGACATTGAGTTACATTTAAAGTAATAAGAAAGGGATAAACACCTAATAATGATATGACGTATGAGATATATAATATGATACCGAGTCCCAGTGGTTACTGGTAGCAGAATCCCAAAGCCACCCAGCCAGCTTTCATGCCTAAGGTGGGAGACTAGAATTCCCCATCTCCTGGTGATTGGCCCAAAGTCACCTAGCTGGTTTTCATGCCTAAGTCAGGACTAGAACTCACCGTCTCCTGGATTTTAGGCCACTAAGTAAGTTCCCGGTGCATTGCAAGTTAAGCGAATCTCTTGATTTGTTGACCTGGGTTTAGAATCCGGAGTGTTGTGTGTGAACGTAGACAAGAGGGAACGATCCTTTGGCGCAGCCAATAAATAAGCAGATGTTTCTTTTCGCGGGCGCCAGTTCTCCAGCTGTGTATTCAGCTGCCCCGGGCAGACGGGCGCCTGCATCATTCAAGCCCGGGGAACAGCCATACAGATTTATTTGAAAGGAGAGGCCCAGCACTGTCAAAATATGGCATAAATCTAACACGTAGGGGTGAATAATTTGTCAGCATCTGGCACCGACGGCTGGCTGCTCAGCCTATCTCGAAATTGCCAGAAGGGCTGACCGCCTGGCCATCTCCGGCCCTTGAATTTAATTGCTCTGATGTCAGTCAATCTTCTCCATGACTGTTGGCTGCTTCGTTGGGAACACTTGCCGAAACAAAAGAAAGAAAAGTGTGTGTGTGTGAGTGCGTGAGTGTGTGTGTGTCTGCGGGTCCTTGAAAAAGAAGCGGGCACTGAAACCTGACATCGGTTTTTACTTGCGGCAAGTGGAAAGAGATGAGTTTTCTTTCATTTTTAAGTCTTGCAGCAAAAAGAGGAAGAAAATTTACCTGTGTTTTGTTCTTGATGGCACACAGGGAGTTTCTGTCGTTCCCGTCCGCGTCTTAAAACCGGCAGTCGTCCTTGCCAAGTTTCTGCCATTCCTCGGTGATCTTTCGGGGCCTCCAAAGGGAGCAGTGGAAGCAAAGAGGGTTCAGACCTCAAAAAGGGCAGAGTGCCCTGTTGGCTCTCTGGGTGGACAATACTTAAGCAGGTTTATTATTATTCTTGATTACATATTTATTAGGGTTTTATCCCGTCTTTATTACTAACACGGAGGGACGCGGTGGCTCAGTGGGTAAGATGCTGAGCTTGTCGATCAGAAAGGTCGGCGGTTCGGCAGTTCGAATCCTTAGCGCTGCGTAACGGAGTGAGCTCCCGTTTCTTGTCCCTCCTTCCGCCAACCTAGCAGTTTAAAAGCACGTAAAAAATGCAAGTAGAAAAATAGGGACCTCCTTTGGTAGGAAGGGAACAGCGTTTCCGTGTGCCTTCGGCATTGAGTCATGCCAGCCACATGACCATGGAGACGTCTTTGGACAGCGCTGGCTCTTCGGCTTTGAAACGGAGATGAGCAGCGCCCCCTGGAGTCGGGAACGACTACCACATCTGTGTGAGGGGAATCTTTACCTATATGCTGATGTGGGAATTTCAGTGTTGGAGCATTCACAACTTCTGGTGGCAAGTTGTTCCACTGATTAATTGCTCTGTCAGGAAATTTCTCCTTAGTTCTAAGTTGCTTCTCTCCTTGAGAAAAGTGTCCCAGCTTCTGCCAACCTAACAGTTCATAAAAATGCAAGTAGAAAAATAGGAACCACCTTTGATGGGAAGGTAACAGCGTTCCATGTGCCTTTGGCATCGAGTCATGCCAGCCACATGCCCACGGAGACGTCTTCGGACAGCACTGGCTCTTCGGCTTTGAAACAGAGATGAGCACTGCCACCTAGAGTCAGGAACGACTAGCACATATGTGCTAGGGGAACCTTTACCTAACACAAGGTGGCAAACATTCGTAATACTCCTTCGTCTTCCTCTTTTCCTCCAAACAACAATCATGTGATGTGGGTTGGGCTGAGAAGGATTGGGCCAAAATCATCCAGCCGACTCAAGCAGTACTAGAACTTACTATCTCCGGGTGATTGGCCCAAAGTCACCAAGCCAACTTTCATGCCTACGGCACAGAGGTCATTGTCTCTGGGTGATTGGCAAAAGTCTCAGAGCCAGCTTTTATGCTTAAAAATGAGACTAGAATTCACTGTCTTCAGGTGATTGGCTCAAGTCATTGAGCCACATGCTTAAGGCAGAACTAGAACTCTCTGTGTCCTGGTGATTGGCTCAAAGTCACTGACGCGGCTTCCATGCCTGAGGCAGGACAATTGACCTGGTGATTGACTCAAAGTCACCCAGCCAGCTTTCATGCCTAAGATGAGACTAGAACTCATCGTCCCCTGGGTTCTACGCCAGCACCTTAAACCCGATACAAAACTAAATCTTTGGATTTTTTCCTGTGCAATGTGGAGAGTGACCAGCACCTGGAAGCTGAGTGTTTTAAGTTTGTACTTTCTCTGCTCCACAGTGGCTGCGACTCACTTTGGCTTCTGCCCGAACCTATTGGAGCACACCGTATCGGCCGAGAATCTCAGTTACCGCCTGCAGAGGAATTCAGGCGGCAATCTCACCTGGCATGATGGGCGAAGCCAGAGGACAGCCGGAGGGAGACCCGTCAAGCTCCTTCAGCAGCCAGGGACCGAGAACTCCCAGGTAGGATGGCACTGGCCACCTCCCGATAAATAAATGTGTGTGTATGTGTGAGTGATAATGGAAGAGAGCCTGTGGCTTAGTGGCTAATATAACTGCCTGATATGCAACACAGCCCAGGTACGATTCCCAGTAAGGGTATGGCTAGCTGATGAGAGCTAAATAGCTTGAAATAGATCTATACTAGTCTCCCTTTATTTATTTATCAGCGCAAATGCAACATACATGAAAAATCCTTTCTTAGCGAGCACCTAGAAGCCAAGTGGAACATACATGCAAAATTTCAAGCATGAGTGGTATTTTGCATATATGTATATGTATATGTATATGTATATGTATATGTATATGTATATGTATATGTA